TCCGATTTCCACAATATTTGGTGAGTGTGATGAGCATGGCCCCTTTACTGCACATGGCCGTGAAGATTACCCGCTCAGGTCAGCTGAGCAATCCCCGCGTCTCCACCCCCTCCTGCCAACAGAGACATCTTTGTGTTGAGAGGTGCCGCGTTTGCTTTAAGGGGTCTCACCACTTCAGAAGCAAGTCCAAGAAAACCCGCCCAAGTCAGTTGACCCGAATCTTGACCGTGGCTATGGGTGGTCCATTTTTTGGGGGACCCATGTCGGGCTGGTTTTGAGACGATCGCCAGGCCTTCCTTGCTGCAGGGACGGTTCTGCTCTGCGAGGGCTGCCGCGCAAACCAGGCCGCGCCTGGTCCCTGGCTGGCAGCTGCGAACCGCCTGGCCTTCGGCATTAACGTGGCTCACCCCTTCGTGCAATTCTTTGTGGAGGTACGGCCGGGGGGGAGGGGAAGGGGGGGAGGGGCGATTCTACTTGTCAAGCAACTCGTGTGATACCACGGCTCTCTCATTACTGGAAGGGAATTCCCCACAAGGAACCTTTTCTGTGAGCTCGCTTATCTCTCTCTCTCTCTTTCTCTCTCTCCAGGGTTTGGCAAGACTGGCTGAAACGACAAATTTTGGCGCTCCGTTCGTGTGGCTTCGATTCCTGCACAGCTTGATCCAGTGTACGTTATTTTTCCAGCTCTGCAGAACAGCTCCCTCGTCAATTAAACAATTTCAACCCAACCCTTTGAAGGTGCACAAGTCAGGAACCAACTGCTTGGCTGTTTTGGTTTCACTGCCCTTGGTTACGACCCAACGTCAACCCACCTTAATCATGTGAGGCTCGGTCTCAAAATTTCCCGGCCCATGGCGGGGACGCGCTCTAAATTTCCCAGCCCGCAGCTTCCCACAGAACAACGCCGGGTCATTTCTGCGGTAAGTCGTCGGCACATTGAGGCTCACAGCTCCTTGAACGACCGGGTCTTCTCGCTCTTCTCGTGGCCCGCGCAGCTGCTGCTGATCTTCGGGCTCACCGCGCTCAGCGCCTTGGTGGTCTTTCTCTTCGTGCAGCGGCCCTGGGCCTTGGTGCTGGTGCGCGCCTCGCGGCTCGTTCTCGGGGCCGGGAGCCGGCCGGAAGCTCCGGGCAAAGCGCCGGACAGGCAAACCAAGGCATGGCCGGAGGGGACAAAAGGCAGCGGCTCAAGGCAGGGGCTCCGCTTTTTTTGACGACAGGGTAGACTGAAATGCAGGGCTTCATTTTTTCCTCAAAAGGAGACCCCTGGGTTTAAGTCTATCTTGGGGTGGTCAACAAGTGGAACCCTGGCTCAAGGTGACGAGCGGCTCAAGGCGTATTGCAATGTACGTGTGTGGCTTGGGGTGTCCGGCGGAGGGTTAGGATGAATCTGATGCGCGCGCTTGCGGGAGTGAATCTGCTTGCACCTTGCCACTACTTTGTCCCTATCTACCCGCTGTATAACACTTCACCCTGAGCCCAGGCTTACCCCAATCCTATCCATGAAGTTGGCTGGATTGCCAGCCACTTACGGGTGTAGCACTGCGGCTCTTTAAACAAAGGCTGGAGGTGTGACCCCCGCACATCAACTCGTGGCCACGTTGGGCCATGATGGTCAGTTGACCGATATGCCGGGGCAAATGCCAGTCTATCGGCAGATTCTTGGCAAGAAGTGAATTCGGCATTTGAAGCAGCCAATTGTCAAGGACGTCGACCCAGATGTGATCACTGGCTACAACATCAACAACTTTGACTTGTCCAGGGCTCATGCTTGTTTCTGCTTGACATCCAGAATGCATCCTTAAGCTCCACCTCACTTCTTCGCTTCCATGTTTCTGAAAAAAAAACCAGGCCCAGCCGTCTTGCTTTTGTCGTGTTTCTCCGCAAACTGTCTTCCATAGGCCCCGCTTCCTTTTTCTTTTTGGCTCCCCCCCCTCTCACCCCCTTCGCAGCCCCCCCGTCCCCCCCCCCCCCCCGCCAGGGAAGGCGGAGTGCAGCTTCCACGGTGTCCGAGGCCCTACCTCCTGGACCGCGCGGAGACCAAGGGCATCAGCTACCAGTTCTGCAAGTTGGGGCGCCTGAACGACCGCTGCCGGCGCCTGAGGAGTTTCGGAGTTTCGCTGGCTGGTCGCAAGCCGGAAATACTGGGGATGGACGAAATTTCCCTCCACCTAAGCCCTGGAATGATTCGATTCCCTTGTAAATACCTTGGAATGGTTTCAACCATGGTTTCAAAGTGCAGGATTTCGTCCATCCACAGGGCCGGAGATCCGCCCTTGTCAATTTCTTTTATTTGTTTCTGGGTAGGCCGTGGGAAGACCAGGTTTTGATCCTGACTCTGCTGTTCTGAGCTTGTCTGGCGAAAAGGGGGGCGGGTTCGCCGAGGCTCCGTTTTCAGGTCTTGTTGGATACCAAGGCCGCAAGCGCATCAACAACTTTGGCGGCCGCGAGTCCATAGAGATCAATATTGATGGCAGAATCAATTTCGACATGCTGACAGTCATCCAGAAGGAAGTGTGTTGAAGTGGTGGCGTCCGGCCCAACGGCGGCAAACAGTTTGATGCATTGTAGTGCTGACGTGTGTCGACCATTCTCACCATCTCCCCTGGCCAGGAGCAGAAACTGAGCTCGTACTCCTTGAACGCGGTCTCCGCAGAGTTTTTGGGAGAGCAGAAGGAGGATTTCCAGCGCGCGTTGGTCATTGTTTGCTGCTTGCAGTTTCTGTTTTGCCTGGCAATGACCTCAGCTGCTTGATTGCTTGCTCAGCATGGCTAGCACTGGTGACTGGTGCACGTAGCATCAAAGGGGGTGCTTTGAATGGCCGGAGCTTCAGGACGTCCACCACAGCATGATCGGAGGGCTCTTCCTGGAAAGTGCTGACACCCGGCGCCGTTTGGCCGTGTACTGCCTCAAGGCTCCGCTTGTCACACCCGTCGCTCGTGCTTTGTGCGCCGTACCGTTTCACCGCTGGTTGGGGGCGGGACAGGATGCCTATCTCCCCATGCGGTTGATGGAGAAGCTTCTTTGTATGTGCCCCTCTCAAGCCGGCCAAAGAGTTTCCCGTAGTGCAAGGTGCTTCCAGTCCCGCGTGTGAGGTACAACTATGTTGAGATGGCGAGGGTGACCGGCACTCCCATCAACTTCTTGCTGAACCGCGGGCAGATGATCAAAGTGCAGCAACTTCCTCAGACTTTTGCTGGGTACCCAGCGCCTCGCATGGTCACAAGCCTTGAGGTCTCAGCTCCTGCGAAAAGCGCGTGAGTGTGACTTCGTGATGCCCACAATGACGCTTGACGTCACTCTCTTTGTCGCGTCACTATCTGCGTGTCAGCATGCATTTTGGAGACCTTCAGGAAGTCGGAAGCCTCCAATGACAAGTTTGAGGGGGCGACCGTGCTGGATCCTTTGACAGGACCACCCGCTATGCCGGTTGTCAGCAGGGATTGAGGGAACGACCCCTATAAGCCATCCCCCATGGTTTCCTTCAGGGGAATTCCCAGGTCATCCCAACACCGTGGGTCATTCCCTGCTGAGCACTAGCAAGATTGTGCTCTACAGATGTTGCGCTCACTGGTTTCTGCAGGATACTATCCGCAGCCCATTGCCACGCTCGATTTCGCATCCCTGCGCCTCAGTCAAGTCTTTTGAGAGTGTAGCATGAACTTGACGCCCTGGATGTGCCCACGAATCATGATTCCGTTGGAAGGGGTACGTACGTACGGACGTATTCCGTACTTTCCTACATACGTACATA